GACATTGAGATTAGCAGCAAAAGTGTGGACAAACTAGAGAACGCAAAAGCGGAGAAAAAACCCGAAAAAGAGCCTGAAGTAAAACCGAAAAGTCTCTCTGCTGACAACACTTTCGATGACATTGACTTTGACGACAATTTGACGGAAGAGCTGGAGAAGATTGTCGCCTCAAAGTTGAACGCCAACTCTACTGCACACAGCCTGGCTGGCGGTAGCCCCTCGACATTTACCGCCGACGCCGCCGCCGCCATTATCGACCAGTCGATGCAGTCAATCGACCTGGAGCTGGACAACGACGCCGACGATGAGTTCTTCAACTCTTTCCGCCAGAGCCGCCTTCAGCAGGGAGAACTGCCGGCGGCATTTGAGGTGGCCAACACGACCAAAGTGACGCCGGAAAAGTTTACCACCGTCCTAGTGCGCTCTGAACGGCACTGCAAGCAGATGCTGGCGGAGATATTCGCCACCCATGTGCTGATGGAAGCTGACTCTGTGCTGAACATTGCACTGCACTTCACCCTGGAGCCGATCGTCAATCCCTTCTTCACTAAACTGAAGATGAAGAGCGCACCGATTAAGGGCCGGCAGCCGGCAGAAGAGAGGGTCTTTCGCATTGAGGACCGCTATCCAGTGCAGCTGAGGGAGCTCTACATTACCCGTCTTGGCCACCATCGCATCTTCTACGTCAACTCGGAGGAGATGTTCGAGTGCCTTCAACTGCAGCTCGTCCCCTGGCTGAAGGGCCTGGATCCCCTCTTTGACTTGGAGATGCTTTCTGCCAGCTCAAGTCCTACCACGGTGAACAACCTGTCAGCTGCTGAGCTGGAGGGCAGTGAGAAGAAGCCCCGTTTTCGTTTCATCACCTACGACATCAAAAAGGCGTTCTACATCCTTCAGTTCGGCTTCCACTTTCCAATCAGCTCTTTGCAGCATCGCATTGACTGGCATGACGTTTCAGTTGCCCTGTGGCTGCTCGACCCTGAGGCAAAGCCGTTCAACATTCAGCAGTTTGCTCTTCAAGACATCATGCAGCTAGCACTGGATTACCAACTGTCGGAAATTGACTACCTGCAAAAGGTGCAAAATTTAGCCAAGCTAAGCAAAGCTCGTCAAGAACACTCCAAAGGACAGATTATTCTTCAATCTGAAAACTTATACAAAACGGCGCTCCTGTTCTACTTGATTGGCCAGTTCTCCAACCGCCTAGTGGCCAGCAATCTCTACCTGTCGTACAAGCTGATCGAGCTGCCGTGCCGCACCTGCCTGTACATTATGGAAATTCAAGGCGTGCAAATCAACGACCAGCAGCTGGCAGTGGAGCAGTCCCGCCTGGCACGATTTCGCGAACACCTCGAACGACTCATCTTTGAGCAGGTGGGCAGCGAGTTTGACCTGAACAGCCCGGAAAAGGTGGCCCGAGTGCTCTACCAGGAGCAGAACCTGCTGTCGAACCTCTTCGACGTGAAGCAGTCATCGAAGAGCGTGATCAAGGTCAGCGGACCACCGGCAGGCCGACGACTGCCCAAGACGTTGAGCACCAGTAAGCTGGCGTTGATCAAGCTGCAGGCGGCCTGCGGAACTACCACCAACCTTCCGACGTTGATCATGGAGTGGCGGCGCGTCAACCACGCCCTCAACCAGACCATTCTCCCCATCAACAACGCCCTGCAGATGCCCAGCGTTGAGGACCTGAAGAGGGGCATCAGCTCGGAGACCAAGTTCATCTTCAGTCAGTGCGACGAGTGGTCGGTGACGGGCCGAATTTCCATGCACGACCCCAACCTGATCAACGTCGATAAGAACTTTGAGCTGAGCACCATCACTGAGGCGATGGCAAAGTCGCTGGAGTGGTCATTTGACCGCAGCTCTCCGGAAAACTCTTCGCTCGGACTGCTGTCGCCTAGTACACTGGCCAATAGTAAACCTGTTGTAGTTCAGCTACGCCAGAACATCTGCGCCCGAAAGGGCTACGTGCTAGTCACTGCGGACTACTCACAGCTGGAGCTGCGCATTCTGGCTCACTTCACCAAGGATCCCTACCTGATGACCACTCTAAACAATCCCGACAATGACGTCTTCAAATCAATTGCCGCTGCCTGGAAGAGCATCCCCGTTGATCAGGTCACCAATGAAATGCGCCAACAGGCGAAACAGGTAAGTGGATGTTTGGGTTGTTTTGTTTTGGGCAAAAAACTGACTTTTTTTAACCACCTTTTTACAGATCTGCTACGGCGTCATCTACGGCATCGGCGACAAGTCGCTGGCGGAGAACCTCGCCGTCACCGAGGCGGAGGCGATTGACTTTCGCGAGAACTTCCTCCAGCGCTACCGGCAGATTAAGATGTTCGAGGAGAGCGTGCACAGCGAGTGCTCCGCCAGGGAGTACGTCGAGACCATCAGCCACCGTCGTCGGCCAATTCACAACATCGCCAGCGACAACCCGTCGCTTCGGGCGAAGGGCTGCCGCCAGGCGGTGAACACGATCATCCAGGGCAGCGCCGCCGACATCATCAAACTGTCGATGGTGGCGGTGGACAAGGCCATCCGCCGGCGGGCGCTGGACGCCTCGCTGCTCCTGCAGATGCACGACGAGCTGATGTACGAGGTGGTGGACGCCGCAGAGAGGCCGCTCGAGTTCGCCCAGCTGCTGAAGACGCAGATGGAGAAGGTGTCGCGCCACCTGAAGGTCATTCTCCCCGTCAAGGTGCGCATCGGCCCCAACTGGGGTCAGCTGAGCGATCTGTCGTTGTAGAGCATACATAATACGGAGTTGCACTTGTTGAAGGCATTTACCACTGCACTGCACACATTTCTCCAACTGGACCGATTTCTTTCAGCTTCTTTTTTACACCTTTACTTTTCTACAGCTGGCTTATTTATACTGTTGCATGATTTACCTTAACTGTACTTAACATCCTTTTTTACATTTTCTTTTATTACCCGCGCAAATGTTTGTTTATGCTTGCCTATAACTTTATATTTTTACACAGCCATTAAATTATCTTTCTAACTTCAACACCATAATTTGTTTTGCAAAAACAATCAAAGTGTTTTTATTCCATTGTTTGATGTTTTCATGATGAAGTTGTAGTACAACAAAATGTGAAAAGTGAATATGTTTAATGAAAAAGAAGACAAAACAAGAATGATTAGAAAAAGTAAAAGAATGTTCAATATTATATTGCAGAAATTGTGACAAAGAAAATGAGAATCAAGTGCTGGCTGGTTGACTGGACGTGAGAAGGTTGTCCGGATAACCGACAAAGTAACAAGTGCTCGCCCAAATAGTGTTCATCTGTTTGTCAGCACACAACAGTTTTGTAGTTTTCGATGTAGTGATGCTGTACTTATCAAGTTTGTGTACCTTTCAATTCAGTCAGGGGGGCATGTGAGTAGAAAAGTAAGTAATAAAATGTAAAGAAAACAAGAGAAAATCACAAAGAGCAACACATCGGCACAAAGATGGCAATCGAGAAAACACTTTTCAATTGGCTGTTGGCAAAGTCAGATGTTGTAGCGTGAGACGTTACCGAGTAGCAACGACTATTTGATGGCTAAGTATAACCACAAATTAATTGATTGCACATTGAGAAGAGGTTTTAAGGTAGTGACGATGATCGGTGAAGAAGAAAGTTTCCGTGTAGGTTAAATTCAGTCAAACAGTTGTGAAAGATAGACGGAAAGAAAACAAAAAGTGAGGTCAAAGATAGAAAGAGAGAGAGAGAGAGAGCGAGTGAGAAGGAAAAGATAGGAAAAAGACCACAGTCAGGATCACGAATGTGAGAGCAAGAAAGAGATAATGAAAGAAGAAGAAAGATGAGGCATTGAGTGTTTGTATGTTGTGACATCTGTTTTCAATAAATCTGTGTTTTCTGTGTTGTATTTATATCTACATTAATTAAAGTGTGTTTGCTTAGAAAAAAAGAAAAATAAATAAATAAAGAACAAGGACATTGTAAAATAAAACAGGGAAATGTGTTGCGTGTGGACCAGAGAAACACCGGTTGTGGAAAAAGTGACCAGAGTTGCTTGTGTGACCGTTTTCAGTCAATGGAAATGATCATTCAAAGTCAGCGTTTGTGTGTTAAGTCATTGCACCTTGTGATCATGTTGTTGTTGTTGTTGTTGTTGTTGTTGTTGTTGTTGTTGTTGCTGTTGTTGGCCGTGTAAGTTAGTGAAGAAAGTAGTAGCTACTTCCAGGTAATGTTGTAACCGGTCCAAAGGGGACTAGGAGACAGATACACTCGGTAACCTCGATGCATAAAGCTGACTACGCCCTGGTAGCCAGTGCGTGGAACACCACACTGTTTGAAAAAGTGGTTAAAACAAAAAGCTGTCATTTGGCACAAAAAGTATTAAAATGCTTCCAAAACAATAGCGACATCAATCAGCTTGTTTAGCAGAAGCAAAAAGGCTTACCTTGAAGTCATCCATCAAACCGAACACCTTGGCAGCCTTCTTAAACTGATCACGGCTGTTGTACTGAATGCGAATTGACTTGCGATTGCCGCCAATCGGGTCAACCGGCGCGGAAGAGGGCGCAGGAGCTTCAGCAACAGGCAAACTTCGCATCTCACTGACGCCCACTTGACGGCTGTTGTAGACTGCTTTCAGAAATTCGACATCATAGTTCTCCTGTGTGTGAGTAAATAAATGAAAATGTGGCTGTTTATTGACAAACTAAGTGACAATCTAATCTTAAATGACTAGCAAAAAAAGTTGAGTTTTTTTTGGTAGGAAAGCTGCAGGAAAGCATTTGATGCTCAAGAGAACCAGGAAGTTTTTTTGTTGTTGTCATTAGTCATTTGGATAACCTAGAGGTTGTGTAAACACACACAAAGTAGACAAAAACAGGCCACTTACTTTGAGAAGATAAGTTAGGTTCATTTGAGTAAAAGGCACAAATTTTTCGTTTAACTTGATAAACTTTAGATGTTTCTCATAGAAAAGACCACTACGGTAAAATGTTTGAGTATAAAAACTTGGTTAAAATTGAAATTGCTTTGATAAAAACATACTTTGAAACTCCTTTTTTGCCAAAGGTTTTAGTTCGAGACAGTTCTGGTCGAATGCAGACGCGGTTTTTGCGTTGTTCAGGCTCTCGAATCCAGTCATCCCAGAAACTAAACAAAAATGAGTTTTAATACAAAAAATTTAAAAATCAAGCTCGGTTAACATACGCTTTTGGCCACTTGTTTTGAAACTCCATCCAAAGGTCTTTAGTCAACATCCAACCAAGTCCAGGAAAGAAGTCTGAACGATAAAGCTTGGCTGGAAAAAAAACAGGACAAAACAAAGTGAAACATGTTAAACATGTTAGTTAACTAAAACAGTTAAAATTTAATAAAACTTACTTGGATCCTGCTCAACAATGCCATCTTTGCCATTGTCATTCCACGCCGAAACACAGTAGATAGTCGGATCGGATTTTAAAATAGGATACAACGCAAGAAAGTATTCAAAAAAGTCCGGCGAAATGTCAAGATCATCTTCCACAATGAGCACTGTGTTGTAGTTAAGTTCATTGAAGGTGTGATTCAGCGCCCAGCCGTAGTGCCGCGATATTTTGTAGTAGCCCTTGAACTTTTTCTGTGCCTTGCCGTGCAGAACAATGTCCGACTGGTCGGGTTGTTGAATGTACTTCAGCTTGCTCCCGTATGACTGAATGATCTGCCGAGTGGGATCGTGGTTGCAGTCCTGGGTGACCACAATGGGAAAGATCTCCTCAGCGCCGGGTGGACGGAATTTGAAAAGCTGGTCAAGATTGCGCTTCACGGTGACTCGATTGCAGGCAAACAGTAGAACTGCTATCACTGGTTCCTAAAACCACAACAGCAAAAACAGCAAATAAATGAAATAAATGCTTTTAGACAAACAGAAAGGGCAAAGTGACACTTACCTTGCCTATAAACCCCTCACTGAGCGAGTCCAGGTACTCTTTGTTTTTGAGCACCTCCTGCACTGACTTGCCCGTCTTTTTGGCGATTCGATTGACTATTCGAAGGACCCTGAGCATGCCCTCGTTGGACTTGATCTGCCGACTGAGATCATGTTCGAGTGAGTCGACTTTAGACGCGATCGCTTTGAAGTCAAATAGACTGCTCGGTGTGACCGCCGATAGTGCCGCCGGTGTGCTGGCTCCGCCGTTTGCGCCCCCCTCTGCCGAGGGCGGCCCTGCCTCGGTGCTCTGCGATCCATTCGACTGCAGGCCCGAGAACCACGATCTAGGCTGTGTTTGCATTAAAAAACAGGCAAGAGAATACAGAATATTTGTTACTGAGTGGAAGATTAACTAGGTAGGCTCACAAAAACTCCTTTTTTTCTTCCCCACTTACCGAACGAAATATCTGATATTGAGGCTTGTGCACAAAGAGGTAGAGCTGTATGGTTCCCCAGCTCATAAACAGCAACGTGCCCGTGAGCAGTATTTTCTTCTTTCGCATTGCATAATCTCGGTTTAAAGACGAAAAAGTCTTCTGTGGAGGGAGAAAAGCAAGTGTGTTACATGGTTGCAGATGTTTCGTTATTGAACGGGTGAAAAGGTGAAAAAACGTAAAAATCAAGGAGGCCATTAGCTAATTGTTATTTGAGCAATACTAAATGCTATACAACAAATAGCAAAAACAATAAAAATCAATCCAGTTTTAGGCACTTTGGTAATCAAATGATAGAAAAAATTATAAAAATGATTTCAAATGGCAAAATAAGGTCATTTTGTTAAAAAAAAATATAATAATGATTGTCAGTGGAAAAAATGCAGCCAATGGTGTTAATGTTGACTGTTACGACCGGCTAACAGTTTCATTAGCACTGGCAGGTGGTCTACAGTGCACTGTACAGTACTGAACTGTACTGAACACCTGTACGGTGATGAGACAAGCAGAGGTGATGCAGTTGACAGGAGCAGTTGTCAGTCTGTCGACTACTACTGCTTGTCAGTCAGACTTCACTAGACAGATGACAAAGCCAATCTACCGTGCAGACGCACTTTTGCCTTCAGTTTTGTCATTCGCTGATTGAGACCGTTTGTCCAACTGGCCACAAAGTGAAAAAACACACAGAGGTAAAGTTGTACAGTCTGGCAGTGTTTGCTTTTACTCTAGATGACAATTAAAAGCAGTGCGGCTGACAAGGAAACAAATTGAAAACTCAGAGAAAAAAGTATCTGGCAAAGTCATACAATTGTCAACTAGCAAATTTGGCAATCTTTTAATCGGAAGCAACACAGTGAAAAGAGCAGATAAAAAGCAGTTAGTGGGTGTCGATTGATGAGTCGATAGGCAAAAAATTGTTTCATAAAAGGCAAACTAGCAAAAATAAACAGCAGGAAACGATACATTTAACAGCAGATAGCAAAAGGAAAAAACTAAAGTGATGGTAAAGGCCAGTGACACTTGCATCACCAGTAGTAAACTGTTAACTGTTATTCGTTTATTTCAATTAAATTTTTTAGTATAAAAACCTTTTAATAACGTTTATGTAGAGAAATATTGGCTAAAATGCATTTTAAATATTGCTTGACTGATAAATGAGCAATTTCTTAAAATCAAAAACGGTAATTGAAGCTTAATGGTCAACAACTAAACGAAAAAAGCTAAATTAGGATGAGAAGTGCCCTTTGCAAGTGCAACAGTCCACTCAATTCAGGCGGCGTGTCGCCAGTATAAGTGCTATTTCTGATTAAAAGCAATCAAGCTGATTATGATTTAATGTTTTTTTAAAAGAAGAGGCACCGCTCATGTGCTTGTGTCATTCATTGGGTCAAAGTCTATGTGACAGACACAGTGAAGTGAAGTGACTTTTGTAAACGGCGGAAGGAGTCGACGCCAGAAATGGTCGGTTTTTGTTCAAAGAAAATAAGAACATGGTGTGCTGTGAAGATTGATATCTACAGCAGCAGTCTATCTGGTGGTTACTTACTCTAAGCAGTGTTGAGACTTTCATTTTGGTGTATTTGGCAATGGTCTGCAGTGCAGTGACACTGCGGCGGCGGCGGCGGATGCTGTTGATTATGCTTTGTTCCAAAATACAAAATCGAATATGCGAGTAAACAGTCTACAGGCGTTCGACAAGTGGTGCTGATGGTGGTGGTGGTGGTAGTGGTGGTGAAAGTAGCTCACCCGCCAATACTTTGCTAATAAAAGTAGAAAGGCAGCACTCGACCTGCAGTGCCCAGTAGCAACCGGGCAAGTGGTGGTACCGCTCTACCGACACCGGCACCTCTGCCTGCCATTCTCTCACTCTACTTATTCTTTCCTTCCTTCCTTCTTTCTCTCTTTTCCAAATTTGCCCGTTCTTGTTCTGCCGACAATGGTAGAAAGAACAGAAGCAGTGTGCACGAGGAGACGACTCCAGGTTGAGACTCAGACAGCATTGAGATTGTACTGCACAGGAGAGTACTGCTCTGCAACAAGAATTCGGTGCCAGAATAATGGGCAGCAGTGAGTGAATGAGTGAGTGAGAGACTAGGAGCACTTGCTGCCGCTGCCGTTGCTGCAGCTGCTGCCGCTGTTGCCCCAAGTGCGGTCCTTCACTTTGTCAGTTCGCCAATTTGCTCAAAATATTGGAGAAATAATTGCATAGTTAGACTCGGGAAAAGAACAGTAAAACTGGGCGTATTAACACCAGCCTAATTTACTTAATTTAAGGTACTGGCAAACATCACAACTTAGGGAAAAGATTTATAGCGTGCCTAGAAAGCGGCTTACGGGGCAGTACTTAGTGAACTTTTCAGTTTTATTGCGCTTTTTCCAGCAAACAACATTAAAGAATTTTGTGTTGTTTAAAAAATAAGCAAAATTTTTTTGAAGTTAATGCACAATTTTTTTTAATTTGATTTAGCAATGATATGTTTTAAATTTTTTTAATTTTGCAAAACTTAAGTTTTAATTTGTTTTTTTGTTATTAACTAACTTGCGTTGATAAATGCCAAAACATTAAATTAATTTAATTATATAAAATGCAAAATGTGCCGTTAAAAAGGCAAGTTTTTTGCTTAATCACCATCTGTTACTGTCGTCAAGCGTACAATAATAAAACTTTTATCAATCAATTTTTTTGTAATTAAAAACTTTGTGTCAAAATCACAACAATTTAATTTTATAAAGTATAAAGAATTATTAACAAATCATCAAAAAATTTGTTTTTTATTTATATTTAGTTTGCTGAGTATTTTTGTTTACAAAACACTTCACTTTAATAGTTGAACAACTTGGACATCTTTTGATCAAAACCATTTTGAATGCAAAATTCTTTTTTAGTATAATTTGAATTAATAAATAAGTTGAATTGATTTTGATTAACAAAATAATGTTAATACAATATTAGAGTTGCTAGTATGTTAGTGCCCAATCGGCAATCAAATTTAAAACCTTTATGCGCCCTTTTCAATCATCAACATTTGTATGTATAAAGGTTGGGAAGCTTTTTACTTTAATCTGCCATAACCACAAATAAAATCAAAAGCTTCTTTTCTCTGTTTTTACTGCACTAGGCAAACTGAATAAAAAGGGTCGCAAAAGTAGTATTCAGCGTAATACTATAACTCAATTACTCTTTGTTAGAATAATGCACCATATGTGTGCTACCATAGAGATAATAGAATATTATACAATCACAAAGCTAATGCCGCGCTGTAATGCCTTTTTGATGCGCAAAGGATTGCCAATTGTTTTTAGGAAGTGAAGTATGATTTTCAATTGATGGGAAGTTCAATTACTTGAGCAGTGGTTTTAGTGCCTTCCAACAACGGGAACACAACAAATGTGCACCACAGCACTGCCCTGCACTTTACCAAACATGTGAACAACATTGAACAGTGGCTCCATTTTGGGTACTCATATTAGTCGGACTTGGCGCCAGACAATGGTCAGTGGTTTGGTCAGGGGGGTGAGTAGCAATCAGGGGCAATCACCAAAGAGAGAGAGAGAGAGAGAGAGAGAGANAGAGAGAGAGAGAGAGAGAGAGAGAGAGAGAGAGAAAGAGAGAGAGAGAGAGAAAGGACAGAACAGTAGATTCTACTGCGGCAGCACTGCCAATTGACCCCCGTACACCGGGCAAACGCGATAGGCCGGCACTGATTAGCACAAAGGGCTTCTGCCTCTGCTTGCGAACAAGTGTTTAGCAATCAGAAGACGGGAAATACATACAGTCGGCTTGGTCAGTTTGCTTGCTCCACTAATTAATGGCCCGTGAAATCGGAGACCTTTGGTGGTGGGCGCCAGTTTTGCAAGTACCATCAGTGCCGGACAGTAGTACTACAAATAATCATTTGAATGTCAATTGCCACAGGAGCCGCAGAAAACTCAAGGAGCCGCTCTCAGTAATGGCGCCCATATGCTAAACTCGAAAAAAGAAGACCTGCTGATAAAACATTGATTAAAAAACATAACTAACAAAAGTATAAACAAAACTTAATTTTAAGGTTGACCAACACACTACTAAGAGTAACTCGGTCAAAAGCAATTGTAACAGTTAAAAACTGTCAATGCAAGCAAATCACAATAGTAAATTAGTCTTTAAGTCAATTGAGCAGAAAAACAAATTTAATTGAGCAAGAAAACAATTTGTTTTTGCGCATCTTTAGAGCCCATTAGTTTGCATTGTCTAACGGATCAGAAAAAAAGAAAAATTGAGAAAATAAGTGAAAAAACATTTGGGCAAACTTGCTCTACTTAAATCGCTTTATTTATAAAACTGCTCACACTTGCTTTTTCTTTTTAGGTGATTCTATGAAATCCTTTGTGTAAAAAAACTATTCAAAAAAGCAAATGAGATTGCCTGCAAATCAAAAGGAAAACAGACAAATTTGTTTATGTTGTTAGGCAAAAAATGGTTTTGATAAGGCAACCCTGCCCATTTAGTAGAGTCGCCGTAAGTGGGCAGTGCAATTAATATTTAATAATCTTGCAATAAACTGCATGCTACTGCAATTGCTACTACTGCTCAACTACTGCCACTGCCGTCTAAAACAAAGAAATCTGTTGCCATTGTGTCTGCATCTAGAAAGTCTTCTTCCGATTGGATAGTGTCTCTAATGCGCAAATAAATGTACGAATGCTTTTACAGAGACAGTAGTGTTTTTTTACCCAGACAGTCTGTCTGTCTGGTCTGTCTGGCGCCCGCGTCTTTGCCCGTCTTCTTAGCCGGCTGATATTCCTGTCAAGTTCAGGCGTCAGGGGACCTGGCCGCAAGTGTTGACAGTGCTTCAGCAGCAGCAACAGCAGCAGCAGTACGGCAAAAAAACTAACGAATTAGAAGAAAGGAAGGCAGACAATGCAAAACGGACAGTTTAAAGTGCAATGATTGCCTGAATGGTACGCCTCAGGAGTAGTGTACCAAAGTAGCACTGAATCGGCATGCACTCTTTCTCTCTCTTTGAGTTTTTTTTGAGCAGCTTTAAAGCCACTTGAGAGCAGGGGAATTGCACTTTTCTAGTAGACTA